TGTGGTGAAAGACTTTAAACATATTATAGGTTTCGAGCTATCTGAAAAAACAGACACATCACATACTGTTGTGTTCTTTACTCCTATCACATACAACTAACTCAACTCCTATTTGATGAATATAAAACGTGAAAAACCTGCAGTTTAAAACAAGAACAGATTTGGGCCATGCAACCTCAAGTACAAGTGAAAGACTTTGGCGTGACCTGTACTAGTTTTTTGAAGTCTGAGCCACAAAAGCCAAATATCTAGTTCATTTGCACGAAAGCTAACAGAAAAACCAAGGGTCAATTCGGTGACTACTCCAACGGACTGCTAAATGACTAATATTCTAGACCACACAAGTTTATAACCTTGTCTCCTACAAACTAATACCACAAAACATTTTGACTTTGTTCCTTGAAGAAAAATGCATCCTAATGCCAGTTTAGCCAGAAAATTATGAATTAATCTCTTTCATGCTATACAAATCAGTTAAATTCACACATTCGAACAATTAAGGATGATAACAAACAGATTGAGTATATATCCAATGCCTATAAATAGACTTCGTCTTGATAAGCAGCTAACTAACCCCCACTTTTACTTTCTGTTATAGCTCCAAAACAAGTCACTTAGCTAATTAGAGAGCAAAAACAATGTGTTATCACCAACAGCCGATATCACATAAAGAAAAAGAGTGAATTGATTATTTTTAGTATAAACTTAAACAAGTCTTTCTGTTAATGCTTACAACTTGTATAAATTGTTGGGATAGTTCGAAGAGGACTGCATATAAGCTAATTATACACTACGTATGTAACTTATTTTAATGACGGTGGTGTTCAGGTCAGCTTGAACTCATCTTGACTATTCCATTGAGTACCTGTTACCTCCGACCAGCATAGCTACTGGAGTATTATGTTTGTATTTTTGAAACACCAACTCGGCGTGATATTTCCAATATTTATTTAGTCCACGCAAAAAAATGAATTACAACAGTTTCATGCACTGATATATCAGATAATGATCACATAGCTTTTAACATCAACCACAACTCTCATATCCTACCTTGGATCCTTCAATGGCAAATTGAAAAAGCCGTATTCCGTTCGCATTTAAAAACTCTACATTCGCTTCAGGATATGGCTCAGGACACAAATATCTACACACAAAATATTCAAACAAAAAGAAAAATCAACAACAATAACATCGTTAAAATAAATTTTAAAAAAACGATACTTTAAGTAACAAACACATGAATGAATGAACGAACGAACGAACGAACTAACATGATAGAGCGAAGGCCTAGGGTTTGCAAAAAGGAGAAGTTAGCAGTATCAGGGAAACCAGACCGAAAAACACCGTAATCAACCATAGAGAAATTGAGAGGCGGAACGAGTAGTCCTTCAGCGGCGTCGATTGCCGGAGAAAAATACTCCGGCGAAACGCCGGCGCCGCCGTCGGAGTTTTCAATACGGTGACACGTGGACCGATCGTCGCCGTTTTCCAATCGCATTGCTCTGCGGTGGCGCCAAGTCAATGACAGAGATTACGTATTTGATTAGGAAATTGAAAAAAGTATTAAAGAGAGTTTGAATGTGAATTTTATTGTATTTATAAGGTGAGTGAATTTCAGTAGTGTAATTGGATTTGGTTTGATTCCTTGGAATCTTAAGGAATATTTTAGATTCCTTACATTTTATTTCTTTCAAGCGCTTACGAAAAATGATATTTTATTTCGTTTATTATTCACTTAAGAAGGTCCGAAGTTCTTGCAGGTAAGGATGTCGGGGGTCTATTTGGAAACAGTCTCTCTACCCTATGGTAGGGATAAGGTCTGCGTACACACTACCCTCCCCAGACCTCACTAAGTGGGATTATAGTAGGTTGTTGTTGTTGTTGTTGTTGTATTCACTTCAGAAGCGATGCCAAGATTTAAAGTTTTGGAATTCAGGATTTTTTTTAGTCCTTTTTTAATTTACTGGGGTTATAAATTAATAATTTATACGTTATTTGATGAATTTCTTTAAACAAATAAGTTTGAATTAAAGTTATTGAATTCGATCGAACCTGTAAACTATATCCTAACTCCGTCCTTGATTCACTTCATCTCAAGTTTAACACCATATATTAATTTTTTATACTCCACAACAACAAATCCAATAGTTTCCCACAAGAATTATTTGTACTCATTACATTATGTTATTACTTTTAATATAATATTTATTTTGATTAATAGTTTATTTTATTATATCATATTATCAAAAAAATTGATGTGTAACAATGAAAAAGTATAACAAACAATTTGGTCTTTGTGGGTTGTTATCTTGTTTTCCTTTTCATAAATATCTCGATGCACTAAGCTTCTGGTATGCGTGGAGTCTGGGGAAGGATCAGATTACAAGGCTCTATTATACACAATCTTACTGTAAAAAAATTTCACGATTCGAACATGTGACCTGCTGGTCATGTAACAATAACTTTACTAATTACGCAAGACTTCATTTCTAAGAATTTTCCATTTTGAAATTATAAGGCCTTCTCATGTTTTGTTTGAAGAAAACTTATAATATAAGTAGATGATTATGAAAATAATTTGATTTGGCCTATGACCATAATATATCATGAAATAAGGCATCCTCATTAACTTTAGATTTATGGCTTCAAATTCAAATAAACATAATTGCAAGTTAGTTGTTTGATATATAAGGTAACTCCTACCTAACACATCTAGAAGTGACTAATCTGATTAAATTAGTTGTTTAACTGTTTATGGATCAAAATAGAGTAATATTAAAACTAAGTTGAGGTGATGAGTAAGAGAAGCCAAGTGGGAATTTGGTATGTGATAAGGTGTCCATAGTGTAAAGTCCTTTTTGGACAGTTAAAGTTACTGTATCTGTGGTTAGAGATAAATGAGAAAAATATTGGGCACTACTACTTTAAGATGGGCAAGAAAACAAAAGCTTCGAAAGGGACTTTTGTAAAATAATGCACTCAACCAATTTTATTACGTATCGAGACCAAATTGGAAACCATTGGCATTCAGTCATAGGGCAGGGCAGGGCAGGGCAGTCCATTGTACAAAGTATTCCATGTTGAAACAGAGCTTGAGGAAGAGTTGTGATGTAGACAGTCTACCATAATATAAGTACTAGTAATTGTTTTCATGACTCGAACTCGTGACCCTATAGATCACACAGAAACAACTTTACCATTGCTCCAAAACTCTCCTTCCATTCAGTTATAGAGGGAAGTGTTGGAAAAAATTGATTATGGAGAATAGGATTTATCAAAGCTTGAGGCATGTCAAGGATATTGTTCTTAAGGATATTTCGCCCACACAGTGATAAATAAAATTAGGTGTATCACCCAGGATTTAACAAGCTCTTCCAGTTATTAAACATGGAACAAAACTAGTAGAAAACTCAAGAAAGAAACCAACATATAGGAGGAAAAGATGATTCAGAAAGTAATATTAGAAAGTGTGTCTTTAGCTCTCCAAAGACCATGTTTATATAAGCATTGCTCCAATGGCTAGATAACGGCTAGTTTGACTCTATTAATTATAAAATAACTTACTAAATAATAAGTAGATGTAAATAATACTAAGAAGAGAAAAGATTTTCTAAGTCATGATGAACATTATCTTTTGAGATATCAATAATTTTCCAACAGGCAGTCCAGTGCACTAAGCTCCGGCTATGCGCGGAGTCCTAGGAAGGGCCGGACCACAAGGGTCTATTGTACGCAAATTTATCATATATTTCTACAAGAGGTTATTTCCACGACTTGAACCTGTGACCTCCTGGTCACATGGCAACAATTTTACTAGCTACGGCAAGGCTCTTCCATTCAGTTATAAGACCCAATATGTATTGGTGGTAAAAAAGAGCTACACGTGAAATATTAGACTACTGACATGGTATCACACGTAAGAGCAATGATATAGCAACACGTGGTAGTCTTATTTGATAAATTAAGAAAAGGCACGGGAGCACGAGGTAGTACCGAACCTAACAGCTGGCAAAGATTGAATTAAGACAGTAAAAAGGGAAGATTCATGAATCTTCAATTAATGAGGAGGGAAATCAAAATTGTTATAGAATCTCGTGGACAATTACAATTACCAATTATAACGGATCATTAATGTAATTAATGATCGTAATGATTTAGCATAAATGGAAAGAAACGAAACGTTATATGTGTAAACCTCTATATAAGGGGAGAGAATTTCACTTGTAAAGACATCTGAGATAATATTGGAATATATTCACTTTACTTTTATGCTTTTTCTTGATATTAACTTTGCAATCAATTATTTTTTTATTTATTCTTGTTCTTTTCCTTCGATGTCATTGAGAAAGTGAGCAAAAACTTGGTTATCAGAAGCCCATTGTCTTCTAAAATTAGTCTTTGACCGAAAGATATATTTTTGGTTAACAAATTAGTTCCGTTAGCGGGAATCTGATAATCTTTTCACTTTCCAAATTTATTTTTCTGCCAAACAGCCATGTCGACTGCCAATGACAACAACCAACAAAACCAACTGAACCAGTAGAATCAACAAAAGGGTGAACCAATCCTTTCACCCCAAAATTTACCCCCAGCACTCTCGAGAGGGGTTACCTCAAAGATCAACATCACATACGAATAATCAACAAGGGGAAATCAAACTGCTGAAGATGCATTGAAACAGCTAATTGCAGAGCACATCAACAATGTCATTCAAGCTTTCGTTAGTGGATTACCAACTGTACCACCAACTCTACCTCCAAACAACACTGCAACCATAGAAAACCATGCTCGGGACTTGATGATTCAGGCAGCGGAGGAACTCCCAGTGAATCTCGCGATGGAATGTCAGGTACCCCAAATAATTCTGATTTACAAATTTTAGTACTAACTTTGCAGAAGTAACTCATGATCTCATAGAACAAATATCTGGTGTGCCACCCGTGATTAAAGGAGTGAATATTGATAAATATTCACAACAGCCCGGGAAGCCTAGTGTCGCTCCCTTGCCACTTCCAAAAAAGTTTAAGATGCCCGATATTTCGAAGTATGATAGAACAACTGACCCACGAGATCATGTAACTGCATTTACAACTGGCGTGAAAGGCAACGATTTAACCAAGCAAGAAATTGAGTCGGTGCTGGTCAAAAAAATTGGCGAAACACTCACAAAAGGAGCACTGACATGGTATTCTCTTTTACTGGAAAATTCTATTGATTCTTTTGCTGAGCTTGCAGATTCATTTATAAAAACGCACTCGGGAGCTGAAAAAGTTGAAAAGAGGATGGAAGATGTCTTCAAAATAAAACAAGGAGATACAGAGCTACTTGGGGAATTTGTGGATAGATTTCAACGTGAAAGAATGATGTTACCGCGTGTACCGTATAATTGAGCGGCCATGGCATTTGCAAGTAACTTAAATGAAAAAAGCTCAGAAGCCACGAGGAGACTCGAGGAAAGCTTACGAGAATTCCCTGCTACAACTTGGAATGATGTTTACAAGAGGTATAGCACGAAGCTGCTGATAGAGGAAGATACTATCACTCAGTCACGGGGAGATGAAAGAGCAAGTTTGAGGCAACCAAAAACTGAAAAGAGGTCCAGTAAGAATATGTACGAACCTTACATGGGACCAGCAGGACGGGATTCATGTTCTAAATAAGAAAACACGAGGAATGGTTCTAGATCAAGAGACAGAGATGCAGGTTCATCATCCAAGTTTGGAAAATAGTGAGATACGCTGGATAGCAATGTTAATACTAAGGAAAAAATTGGTGATTACAGTTTCAATGTTAGCATTTTTGAGTTGGTAGCTGTTTTAAGAAGTATAGGAGATAAGGTGCGGTGGCTAAAAGAAATGAGATCGAACCCTAACAGAAGAAATCCCGATTTCTGGTGCGAGTTTCATAGTGACCACGGTCATAAAATAGCAGATTGCATATTGCTACAAGGTGAGATAGAGCATTTGTTAAAACAATGTTATTTAACCGATTTGTTTAGTGAGAAGGGTAAGCATACGTATATGAAGAATAGACAAGAGCCACCAAAACCTCCGTCACCAAAAAGAACGGTTAATGTGATAAGCGGAGGAGAGGAGGTCAATGGTGTGACATATACGACTTCAAAAAAGACATCAAAAGTCACAATTACCCACAGAAAACGAGTTCGCCAAGTTTTAGAAAATGACAGCCTAATGTTTGATGATGCAGACGTAGATGACGTGATGATCCCTTATAATGATGCACTGTTAATATCTTTACTTGTACATGATACTAATGTGAAACGAGTTTTGCTGATCCAGGTAGCTCTGTAAATAACATTCTTTTAAGAGCGGTAAACGAGATGCAAGCTAATGACAAAATAGTGCCCAAAACACGTACTTTATCTGGATTTGACAATTCAAGCGTTGTTACAAAAGGGGAAATAATGCTCGCCACATTTGTAGAAGGAGTTGTCAAAGATACAATATTTCAAGTGACAGATACGGACATGGCATATAATATGATTCTCGGCAGATCCTGGATTAATGATATGGATGTTGTTCCGTCTACTTTACATCAGGTTATTAAGTTCCCT